AATGTGGTGTAAAATGTAGTAAACGCAATAATGTTTGTAGTCTGAATTTTAATTATACCTCTTGCAGATACTATATTACTTTAATATTATATTGACCAAGAAGTTTAGTAAGTTTTTCTTCAACAAAAATTAGTGAAAACGAACTATGTCAAAATGCGTACCTATGCGAGGTTTTCACTCTAAGGCGACGATATTCTACCTCTAAGGGTGGCAAGCTACGGAGGTGATGAATCCGGTTTCGCGCACTTTCCGATGGCGCACAAACCGACTTCAATAAAACTTGGCTGTATAGAATAGAAGTAATTGTACGAACTTTTGAGATCGGTTTTTTCAGTACTCTGTATTGAGATGACTGAATATCATGTTTCTATAACCATGATATTCATATTTTTTGTGAAAATACTTCATTAGTTAGGTGTTATTATTGATACAAACATCGAACAAACACAAAGAAAAATTCTTTCGATCCGGCCGGATTCGAACCAGCACCTAATTTCTAGATTGGGGCTACCCGCTTTCCCAATTGAGTTCCAGAACGAATCAGCAGACGTCAAGAATTTATCTACGTATACACTCAACATACCCCGCACTAGGGAAACCCTGTGTCGTGGGTGCCATGAACACACAGATAGACAACCACAAATTACACGCAAACTCAAGAGAGAAATAAATGTAGACCATACAAATATTTCTCCCAGCCCGGGAATCGAACCTGGGACCTCTGCGTGGCAGTCCGGCATGGCAACCGTTCGGCCACGGACGCAGTCTATGTATCCGATCTTTCTTTTTGATTTATATTATAGAAAAAATTACGAGCTGCAAACTAATAGATTGATTCTCAATCTATTTGAGATCAAAAAGATTGAGAATTTGCATATAAGAAGATGGATCACATTTCGAACACTTGATAATTGCAAATACCGTAGATACATACACATTAGCTTAGAATAATTTAGCAATTTCAAGTTTGTATCTTTTTTAAATAACTTTTATAAGTGAACGGTGTTCCTTTAATTTAAGACACTGTCACTTATAAGGAATTAGATAGATAACTCGTTTATTTACTGAATCACAGTACATTACATTACTAAGAAAGTTATGACATTGGCACAGTTAGTGTTGGATCATGGAAAAATTTCCATTTTGAAAAAACCATATTTTTCAGATAAATAAATATTTTTCGGCATATTTCTCCATTAATTTTTCACATTTGACGTTGACGCCTGTTAAAAATTGAAGGTACTGAACGAAAACGATAGAGCCATTAAATAGGTTTTTTTCGTTGTTATGAAATCACGCAGATTCTCCCTCTACGTGAAATCATTTTAAATCTCGTTTTTCTCTATGTTTAGGTATACAAGTTTATTTTGTAATTCACGCTAAATAAAACTTCAAAAGATATTTCTAAACGTAGAAAACAATAAGTGTCTTCGAAGTTATATTTTTTCAATTTTTCGGGCTATTTCCGGAAAAATTTCCAGTACCTATTTGAAATTCTTAGGAAAATTACTTAACAGTGGGTACTATGTTAATGATAAAGAAAAAGGCTAGTTTAAATTTGCGGGTATGGTCTGGAGTGTTATGTTGTGTCGGGGTGTAGAGTTGAGAGTAATGTACTCGCAAAAAGGCCTGACTCGGCATTATGTCGCAGTTCACTCGAACTACGACGCTGATGATTCTGTCACGTCCTAAGGTGACCCGGTAAAATTGACTCTATTTAATCGGTATCATAATAATCTCAGTATACAGTACTAAAAAACCGACCTCAGGAGTGATTCATCCCCTAGTTTGCCACCCTTAGAGGTGGAATATTTTCTTCCAATTTAAATGTAACTAATATTGAGGTACCCGCTTTCCAACAAAAAAAAAATTATCAACATCGGTTCACAAAAAGAAGAGTTATCGCGTAACATACATACAAAAAAAAGTTTCCCAGGAGAAGCAAGCAACTTTTAAAAAAACTTTCAATGCAGTATTACTAACTTTAAAAAATAATGTTGTGTCTTTATGAAACAAAATTTCCCATCTACGATAGTTAAAGTACTTTCCCTCCGTGTTACATAGCCTTGGGACATGCTCCCCCTTGATGTTCCCTTAACAATGCTGGAACTACGCAATCCAAACATGTGTGTTGTGATTCGAAGTTTATCCAATTCAGATACACAAAAAGTAATCCTAGTAATATTAAAAAAGGTGCCTACATAGTTGCGGGTTTGTGCGTAGATTTAAGGGTGAAGAGAGGCTACAACAGCGGGTACGGCGACAGCGGGTATGGGCGCGGCAGCGACGAGCGTGACGCGAGCGTAAACAGTGATGAGATCGGATGCAGTAATGGTGGCAGCAGCGGCAGTGGGTATTCTGGCAGGGGGTGAGTCGTTATATGAATTGATATTATGTACCTAAGGGCGCCTTCAAATTAGACTTTCGTAGACGCGCGGCTGATGGGCAAAGTAGCTGGGAAGCGGAAGGTTGGAAGGAGGAAAATGTCATGGCTTCGTAACATCAAGGAGTGGACCGGGTCACCTATCAGTAGTTCGAAATGACATTTTCCAGAAATAACGTTAGCTCGAATTTTCATAATCTCGAATGTGATTTTGAAAGGAAAATGCTTTTTCTAAAACCTTACTTAACCTAATCGAATCTAATCGTGTCTCCGATAAACATCCAACATATCCTAAAAGAACGACGGTTTTATTATAATTCGGTTTTCGGAGTAATGAAAATTCGAACGTTATTTCGGAAAAAAAAAATTCGAGTTTGCGATATTGGGTTGGTAGGACCGGTATCAAGACCGTGGAACAAAGGAATTTCAACAGTTCCGAATGGAGAAGCACTTGAAGAAGAAGAGAAGCGTTGCTGTGGCGGTTCAGTGGTGCGGCAGTCTGTGACGTTTCAGTAACTTTTAGTTCACTCATTGTGACTGCAAAAATGTCTGCAAAAACTGAAAAAATGTGTGTTGCAAAAATGTGTGTTGCAATGGCGCTTCTAAATTACATGATATGAAAATTAATAGAGGCACATCTGCTGCGCTGTAAGCGTTCAATTTGAAGGCGCCCTTACTATCAATTTTTGTAACGGAACGAACAGGTCGTGCGCCTGATGGTAAGCTACACGCTTGTCCAGTTGCAGTGCCACTCAGAGCTTTAAGTCGCAAAGATATGAGGGGCACTGCCGCTGCATCTCTCACCTTGATATATAACCTGACAAGTCTCATGTGCCTGTAATTTCACCAGCACCCTTACCCTCAAAACCGCAATAATGCTGACATTACAGCTTGACAGCAGAAATAGGTAAGGTGGCAGCACTACCCTGGACGAACTCTTCACAAGTATGAATTTTCCCCAATTTTAAGGAAACTGCTTTGATATGAAGTAGGTATGAGTAAAGGTAGACTTAACTTTAATATTCATTGATATTCCAATTGCAGTAACAAATCAGTTATACTTAGGTACGTCTAATAAGTTAGACTACATCGAAGAATGAATTTATAACGCAATTCAGGCATTTTCTTTGTTAATCATTGCAGCAGCTACGGCAATAGCGGCAGTCGCGAGCTGGCGTACAACCGTGATGGACGAGGACGCTCCTTCGTCAAATAATCAGCCTCTGCTGTAGCCGCTTCATCAGCCTTCAGCGAAAATATGAAAGCTAACGTTGATTAGAAACTCGTTTGGTATCTGCTTGTAATGTGTAGATTGTGAAGCAAAATAATTTTTCAGGGACTGGCATGTCTTATGTTCAAGAAAGAAGAAATATATAAGCATGTAAGGCAGGTCACTCTATACAATCCTAATTTTCATATAAATTCAATAAATTACACAATCTAAGTGGTATAGTAACCTTTTATCTCTTCTATCACAACGGTTACACAACGACTGCGATTCGTTGTGAATTTAGTGTAGGCATATCTTTCGAAACTTTAAATGGGTATAGAAATTTACTATTTTTATCTTGATAATATACAGGCAAGGTAATAATCTCAGTACAGAGTACTAAAAAAACCGACCTCAAAAGTACGCGGAATTACGGCTATTTGCTAAGTTTTATTGAAATATCCCCTAGTTCGCCACTATACAGGACTTGACACTGGAGACAATAAAAATAGGTTCTCACTACGACACTACTCAAAGTATATTGAGAGAAAAACGCCTTGAATGGGAGAAATAGCAAAATCAACCATTAAAGTAATTGTTCCTAAATTAAAGTTAGGCGCTATTTATAAAAATGAATCTTCATGCGTGAACAGCCCCCTTCGAGGTGGATGATTTTCTTCAAAATGAAATGGGACCACTATGGAAGTACCCCCTTTCCAACAAAAAAAGAATCATGAAAATCTGTTCACAAATACCGGAGTTATCGCGTAACATACATACAAAAAAAAACATACAGTCGAATTGAGAACCTCCTCCTTTTTTGAAGTCGGTTAAAAAAGACAATAAAAACTTAAATACTAGAAAGTAAAATCAGGGTTTTTTAATTATATGATTAAAACTGGGTCCCCGCGGCAAGGTGCCAAAGATAATGGCAGCATTGCCTCTTTGTATTGTTATGTTAATGCATTGGGCAAGGTAGCTGCCGGCTCTTGGGTTTCCCAGACAGTATATTAATTTTTTTGGATAAAATTTTGTACAGAAAATTTTATTTAAATATTGCTTTTTGGTATCCAAATATTTCTCAGTAAATGAAATACATACAATTCGTGATCAGTTAAGTAAAAGTATCGAATTTGCTGACGAATCCTAGAAAAAATGTGTTATAGGAAATGAAATTATTTTCTCGTTACTAAATTGTGTGTATTTATTTTTTATTTTAAACCCGAAGATTGGTTTGTTTGAAAAAAAAACAGACGCGACTTAGATCCGAGAAAATAGTTTCATTTCCTATGTGCAACAATCGCGAAAACCTAAGTTTTTAATTATTGTTAGATAGTATTTAAGAGTAATTAGGCTAAAGATTGCGCAACAAGGAATACTTAAAAAATATACAGAGCATTATATTAAAAAAATGGTTTTATTTTTTACATTATTTACATATATATATAATATGTAACATGCAACATTATGGCATAACAATAATCTATATCACATTGAGCATTTGGCTGTTCTTTCTTCGGTATTTAACGTCTGAAACAAATTAAGAACAAAATTAGTGCGTAATTTAAGTATGAGGTATCATAAAGGCGAATTACCAAATACTAAGTTGACTGTATTACGTATCATAACGCACACACTCAACATAGCCCCGCACTAGGGAAACCCTGTGTATCAAATAACGTACAATATAAATGTAACCATATTTGAAAACTATGAGAGCGCTATTGTGACCAGCATGCTGATTTTGATACAAATCGGAATTGAACCGATCGGGTAGTCTCGAAATCAGATGGGTTTCTGAGCGAGAAGATGAACCGGATTCCTACTATATTTTTCTAATTTGTGAGTTAACTATTGTTCCGATTACAAATGAGAAAAGTTTCCGATCGGCCAGTTGAGAATCGCAATTGTGCGCCTCGACTCGGAAAAGACGCAGTTTCCGACCGGGAGAGGCAATCAAAATCAAGCTAAAAAGACCGCATTGGCATAATCATAATATATTTCGTTGACATATCATATTATGGATTTTCATACAAAACAAATAACGCAATTCGTTGCGTTATATGAATTGTAACAGTGTTCCATAGAGGTAGAACACTGCCAAATAGATGAATTGCGTTATATAAATTGTAAGAAATTCATAACATGTATTATCAATTAATCATATTATGAGTCTGCCAATACGGCCTTTTTAGCCCTGCAGGAAATCGCTCTTAGATTTAAGGATCAATTCAAGTGTCGTTAACTCACCCGTAACCACCGCCGCTAAAGGAACCGGAACTGGATTTGGCGCTAGCGCTAGCACTGGCACCCGAGTACCCTCCACCGCCGTGGCCGCCATGTCCCCCGTGACCTCCACCCGAGTGGCCACCACCGCCATGACCTCCGTCGAATCCGCCACCGCCACCGTGACCTCGGTCGAATCCACCGCCACCGCCATGGCCTCCGCCGAGACCGCCACCGCCGCCGTGACCTCCACCGAATCCACCGCCACCGCCATGGCCTCCCCCGTGTCCACGACCGCCGCCGTGACCTCCACCGAACCCGCCGCCACCGCCGTAGCCTCCTCCGTGTCCGCCACCGTCGCCGTGATCTCCATCGAATCCGCCACCACCGCTATGGCCTCCATCGAATCCGCCACCACCGCCATGGCCTCCTCCAAAACCTCCACCTCCGCCGAATCCGCCTCCACTGCCTCCGTGATTGCCTGAACCACCATAGCCTGAAAGTTAGATTTAAAATTCTAAAAACACCAATAATATTGATTTATACAAACATCGGTCATGGTAGTAAGTAGACTACAAAAACATCTTCAAGTTATACGTAGATAGGAGCAGTGTTCCCAAGGAGGAAACGTTTAGTTAACCAGTGAAACATTCACTAGCAGAAGAGCGCCTTGTGAAAGAGTACGTCCAGGGAAGTACAACAACTTAATCTATTTCTGCCGCCAGGCAGTGTGAGGACGGGGACAATAGGGCAGGACTTTTCGCTGCCGGGCGTGGTTGCCGCCATGCTCGGTAGCGAGGAGTCCTGAGAGGTGGTGGCCTCCTTTTGCGGAGAGGTTATGTCGCAAAAGGAGGCCGCGGAGCGGGTGCGAGAGGACACGGCAGACGCGCACCCGCTTCGGCGCAGACGTACAGGGAGAAGGCGAAGGCAGTTCGCTGATCGCCTGATCCCCTAGTGAGGCCAGCGGGCTCTGGACAGCGAGCCTGCATTGCACGGACTCACTCGTCTGGGGGGCGGGTCAGAGGACAACCAACTCGCCCTTCCGTTGGCGCGGGAGCCCTGGCGCAAGTTTTAGTGGGTTAGGCCCTCCACTCTGGAGGGAGGATCCCCACATAACACCTGAGTCTCCCTGGGGTCAGGGGTATCTATAAAGATTTCCCCCCCGTCAAAAAAAAGGCTGTAATGTGAGCATTATGGATGTGGGTGCTGGTGAAATTACTGGCACATATGACTTGTGAACTTATGTTTGAAGGTGACACGCGTAGTAGCGGTGTTTCTCAGATCTTTGCGATTTAAAGCTCTGAGTGTGCCTGCAACTGTTATGGACAGGTGTGTCGCATAACATCGGGCGTACGACTTGTTCGTTCTGTCCTTTGGTATCATAAAAAAATAAAGAACAAATGTTATAATTATTCAAATTAAAGAATTGGATTCCCTATAACGCTTACCTGGCGCTGCGTAGGCGCAGACAACGAGCCCTAAGGCGAGGACAGCCACTGCAAGCCGCGCCATCCTGAATAACTATGCCAAGCTTATCCCAACCTACCTTTTATATAGACACGTACAACATTCGCGCTTATGTCATATTTTAGCTCTTCAGTTTTTTGCCATTGTTTTTTGTATTAATATTAAATGCTACAGGTTCTAAACAAGTATTTATGTGCGTTATCGTGAATGTGATCTGAAGTGTTGCGGTTTTGGTTAATCTGATACTTGATCATACTTAGTCAATTGTTTACATGTCTTATACGGGTTACTTATATAGTCTACAATTTACTCTAATATACAATCCAGTATGCAGCTTTTATGACAAAAAGCCCAATTTACTTTATTTTTATTTTATTCGGAACAACAACAGCTATTAATAACGATTTATATTGAATATTTTTAGGTAAAGCTAGTTAGCGTTAATTAGAGTTATCCACGTTATTATTCTAAGGTTGTCCACATTTTCATTTTCAAATATCTAACTTATGGTAAAAGTAAAGTAAAAAGTTTACTAGTAGTAGTAGTACTTTTGTTTTGTTTTTTTTTTTCAAAAAGAAAAAAACAAAAACACAACAAAAGTACCCACAATTATAAGCATAGCAAAAAAGATAAAGCGATGTGAAGTGTGCAATCCAGACCTTCAAAAAAGCGTGCATTAAAAAATGTTAATAAATAAATAGACACGAAACAAGAAAAATAAACCAATTCTGTAAGTGGTACACCGCACTGTATTCAAATTTCAATTTCAGTTAATTTTAAATAGGACTGTTTCCAATTTCCTTTGTGCTTAGATCCTACAAACGGATCCAGCCCATTTTTTTTTTAATTTTAAAGAGTAAATTAAAAATAATGTACTAGAATAGAAGAAGTATCAAGTCCAAGGTAGCGTTATATTCCTAATTACAACTTTTAGTTACTGTTACACACTACAAACGCAGAAGCCGTAATTCAAAGTAAATCTGACCCCTGATTTTTTAATCAGCTATTATACAACTTAAAGTTATGAGATTATCTCTTTTACCTCTAGTGTATTGGATGAAATATAGAAATGTGTATTTTCAATTCATACGCAGCTATGATGTTTAAATATACTCTCGGACACGTAATTCGAGCTACCTGGCATTTTTGTCGTAAAGTGCTAGAATATAAAAATAGTGTTACAATCGAAGAAAAAGTTTTCGCCCGGTTTTGCAAATCCAAATTTCCAACAAGGACTTATGGAAAAGAAGTTTACTATACTAATTTCAAAATTGCTTAATAGTTTTTGATCAATCAAACATAGTTTAAGCTTAGGGCACTTAATACTGAAAATGCGAGGTGCCTCGAATTATGTGTCCGGAAGTATATATAGAGGTATATTCAAAAACACAGCGCTACACAATCGTCTTTATCATCCCCAGCGTGACTTTATCAATCCCTGACCGACAGACTATAACGCACATACTCATAGTCCGTACTAGGGAGACTCTGTATCGCGGGTTCCATGGACACACGCATAGATAACCACAAATTACACCCAAACTCACGAGAGAAATAAATGTAGGCCATGCAAATAACTCCTACTAAATAAATCCCCTGGAGGACTATACCCAGCAGTGGGTGAAATCAGGCTGTGGATGATGATGAAATAAATCCTAACAGGCTATTCTTTTTTGAAGTATATACCTATCTAAGATGGAAAAATATGACCAAAATGTATATATATGTATATATATATATATATATATATACACTACACGAGCGGGCGGGCTCTCAGTGCTCAAGGTCAACTTGCACCGCAAACAGATCAAGAATTTTAGCTAAAAATGACGAAATGTGCGGTAAATGAGTGTAAAAATACGTCAGACAAACATAAAATAGATACTAACATCACATTCCACAAGGAAGTAACGCGTTTCAACTTGTATTTTTA